AAATGGTGCTGGCAAAACTGGATATCTATTTGCAGAAAAATGAAATAGGATCCATACCTCACACCATACACAAAAACTAACTCAAAATGGATCAAGGCTTAAATGTAAAAAATAAAACTATAAAGATCATTGAAGAAATACAGGGACAATGCTAGGCACCCTAATTTATGGCATAAATAGAATATCAAGCATAACTAAAGATGCACAAACTCCAGAAGATAAACTAGTTGACTGGGACCTCCTAAAAATTAAATACTTAGGCTCATCAAAAGACTTTATCAAGAGAGTAAAAAGAGAACCTAATCAAGAGAGTAAAAAGAGAACCTACAGACTAGGAAAAAATCTTTGGCAACGACATATCTAATAAAGTTTTAATCCCTAAAATACATAGAAAACTTCAACAACTCAACAACAAAAAGACAAACTACCCAATCAAAAAATGGTCAAAGGTCATGAATAGACACATCACCAAAGAGGACATTCAGACAGCCAACAAATACATGATGCTCACAATCAACAGCCATTAGATAGATGCAAATCAAAACCACAATGAGACACCATCTCACGTCTGCGAGAATGGCACTAATCAAAGGAACAGAAAACAATAAACGCCAGCGAGGTTGCGGGGAGACTAGACCTCACATACACTGCTGGTGGGAACGTAAAATGGTACAACTACTATGGAAAACAGTATGGTGCTTCCTTTAAAGCTAGAAATTGAAATACGATATGATCCAGCAATCCCAATCCTAGGAATATATCCCAGAGAAATAAGAGCCGTCACACGAATAGACATATGCACATCCATGTTCACTGCAGCATTATTCACAATAGCAAAAAGATGGAAACAACCTAAGTGCCCATCAACAGATGAATGGATAAACAAAAATTATGGTACATACATACCATGGAATACTATGCAACGATAAAGAACAACAATGAATCCATGAAACATCTCACAGCATGGATGAACCTGGAGGGCATTATGCTGAGTGAATCAATCACAAAAGGACAAATATTGTATGACAGCGCTATTACAAAAACTCAAGAAAAGGTTTACACACAGAAAGAAACAATCTTTGAGGGTTTTTATGTAGGGGAGGGGTGGTGAGGGGAATCCACTAACTAAATAGCAGACGTGTTAACTTTGGTGGAGGGAAAGGCAATGCACAATACAGGGAACGTCACCACAGCTTGACTAAGGCAAGGGAAGCCAATGAGAGACAGGAAAACCAGACGAATGAAAACAAGGAACTGGGGCAAGTGGCGGGGAGGGGAGTGCTGACACACTGCAGGGATTGCAACCAATGTTACAAAACAATTTGTGTATAAATTTTTTGAATAGGAAAATAATATTCACCTAAAGCACAATAAAATGTTCTATATGTATCTATAAAATTGTAAAAAAAAAAAAAGAACATTATATAAAGTGATGTGAAAAATTCTTCGAATCAATCCTGATAAAAAGGAATATCATACTATGGACTGTGTTACTGTTACCATCATGATTTTGTGTTAAGTTTTTTAAACCCAATATTCAAGACGTTCATTATTTCCTCTTGGGTAATTTGCTTGCAATAACACTGCACCTGTGCCCTTCAGTTGGAGCACACATTCCCTCCTAGAATGTGGTAGTGAGCTAGAGGTTCTCGAAACCAAAAGCCAAACATGAACTATCAATTTTACTCGAAGTTTTTTTTTCTTTTGGGGAGGGTGGTGGGTATTTTAATATAAAAAGTAACACAGATATTATGAAATAGAATGTAAAAGCAGTGAGGTTTTTTAACAGAGCATGAACTGATGTGATGTTATGCTTGAGAATGGCCGTGTTGGTATTGCCTCAAGACCCTTAAGGGAATGCTTTTTCTCTTCTCTGTTATTTGGGTTTATTAGAACACTTGGGAAAACACTGCTAAAACATCACTTGACTAGGACTAGTAGTGGTGCGCTGATTACACTATCAGATAACAAGGGAAATGCTTTTAAACATAGATCTCCATTCAACAAATATTTACTGAGTGCCGAAGTGCTAAGCATCATTCTAGATTATGGGGATGCATCATAAACCTAGAAGATACAGGATCTCTGCCCTGAAGTGTCTAATATTCTAGCTCAAAACTGTGAGTGTATTTCATTTCACTTTTAAAATACTCTCTACTTCAAAAGCTAAATGCAATGCATGAAACTGTATTATCGCTAGTTTTAAAAGATGATACCTCCATAAAATTGATGGTAATGAAAAATTTATAATATCTTGCAGGCTCCCTAATCCACATCTGCTTTATCCTGGGGCTTCTTTATAATTTAACCTGAATTATTTTCTTGAAAAAGTACCTCTTTATGAACTCTGAGACTTTTAAGTCCACTTGGTATCAAAAGCCCTTCATAGCTTCTCACAGTTAGTAGCCATTAGTTCTCTAGAATGCTCTTCTGACAGCTATGGGCTTTCATACTCAACCAATAAAGAGCTGAGTTCTAGTCTAAACCTCACATTTTACAGAAGACTATCACTATGAAAAGATGAGCATCTCTTCTCCAGTGCCCCTCAGTTGTGACTATTATTTTTACTGTCCCACAGCTGCACAAACAAGGAAGACACTATAGGCCACATAAGGCATATTTCCATAATAAAAAAGAACTACCTAACAGGAATTCTCTAAACGTGGAATATTTATCTTGACATGCTTTCATGATTTTCCAGATTTCTGTTGTTTCTTAGGAAACTTGTTCTAGCTAGCAAGTGGCTAGCTAGGCTTTTAATCAAGACTCACAACTGCTTCCGTTCTAACTGGCCAGCCAGAGCAATTAGGAATAGGGTGAGAGGTGGGAAGGTGGTGTAGAAAAAGAATTAATTAGAGTTACTGTAGGAACAGGATCATCCTCAGGAGTCAGCTGTGAATTCCAAAAGCATTCTCTGTGAATTCCAAAAGCATTTTTTCCCAGTTTGTTTATATGTTCTTAACTCTCTGAGATGGGAACATCTCAACTTGAAATGCCTGTATACCCCACTTCAGTCCATCAGTCCCTTCCCTTAAGAGTTTCTTTAAATGCTTTTGTGAATAAGAGTAAGAAAGAATTCTGATATTATTTCCATCTGTACTTTATAGTTGACATTAAAATTCTTGTGAAATTTTTAAATAAAAAAACGATCATTTTTAAGATTCAGTTTGAATACTATTCTAAGTGGGGAAAAATACCATTCTGTTTTCTAGACATTGTATATAGTATTTGAAGATATGAACTATACTATCATATTTTTTATCCTTGATCCGTGTGTGTGTGTGTGTGTGTGTGTGTGTGTATATTTTTTTTTTTTTTTTAAACAACAACTCCCCACTTCTACCTCCCCTCAGACCCTGGTAACCACTAATAAACTTTGGTCTCTATGCATTTGCCTAGTCTAGATATTTCATGTAAGTGGGAGATTATACAATATTTGTCCTTTTGCCTCTGGCTTATTTCACTTAGCATAATGTTTTCAAGGTTCATCCATATCATAGAACATATCAGAAATTCATTTGTCTTTATGGTTGAGTATTATTCCACTGCAGGTACAGACAAGGAGCCCTGGTGGCTCAGTGGTTAAGCGCTTGGCTGATAATTGAAAGGTGGGCAGTTCAAACCCATCAGCTGCTCCATGGGAGAAAGACATGGCAGTCTACTTCCATAAAGATTTACAGCCTTGGAAACCCATGGGGCACTTTTACTCTGTCCTATAGGGTCGCTATGAATCGGAATTGACTCGATGGCAAAGGGTTTGGTATGTATAGATTATATTTCGTTTATCCATTTATCTGTTGATGGACAGGTTTCCACCTTTTAGCTGTTGTGAATACTGCTACAATGAATATTGGTGTTTAAGTATCGCTTTCAAGTCTCTTGGCAAGTCTCAAGTCCTCCACCTAGGAGTGGAATTGCTGATTCACATGGTAGTTACATGTTTAATTTTTTGAGGAAGTGCCAAACTGTTTTCCACCGTCACTGTACCATTTTACATTCCTTTGTAAGCTTCTATTCCATGTTATAAACTACTATACTATTTATAAAAAAGATAAGCACAACGCATGCATGTGCTTTATGCAACCTGGAAACTATTCTAGGAACATTCCCTTTGTCATAAATGGCTTTCTACACACATTTGTTCTAAAGACATTTTTTACCCCAATAAAGGCCCAGGATTCAAATCATTAATGAATAGTAAACAAACTTTCTTCAGGAAGCCAGTCAGAAGATAAAATTTGTTGTTGTTGTTGGTATTCACTAATCTGGTGAGACACTTAAGGTTACACAGACTTCTACCTAAGCAGCTAAAGGAGCAGAATGTCATTAGTTAATTAGCAGTTTAGCATTTATTCTTTTCCATTTGTCAAAACTAAGGAGTTCCTTTCCATTTTACAAGTAAGGCAGGAAGTATGCATGGCAATCACTGCCAATATCTTTTTAAAATTTCCAAAGACCAACCTCTGAAAAAAAGGAAAAATATTGTTTCACTTGGTAGAATATGGTTCTAATATTCAAGAGAACATTAAGATGCACCATGTCACCTTATTTATTTATAATGTGTCCCATCTGTGTTCTGAGAGAACTTGGGGTACATATTTTGCTTACCAATAAAATAATGAGGATCATAAACCATAGGATATATTATTTTATCAGGAACAGAGTGTGTTGGATTTTTTTGTCAAGTATTAAATTTTTTTATTTTTTATTAAAGTACATTCATATTAAAAGAGTACAAGTTTTAATCTTACACTTGACTTAAATTTAGGATGCACTACAATTTTTAATGTGTCTTTTAAAAAATCCCACAAGGATCTGTAAATTCAGAGATGGTCTCCTCTGAAGATTATGAAAAATTCTAGATAATAAAAATAAAGAAATTACAGTAAAAAACTTAAACATTTAAACCACAAATCTAAGAATACATCTTTATCATCAAATATTGGTAAAACACATCTATAAAAACATAAACTACGAATAACAACCTCATATTCACCTACCACACATCTTGGGGAAGATTTAAAGTTATGCTGCCTTTGATTTCCTCACGGAAACACATATATCCTAAAGTAGCTAATGTTACATACAAAGCTGTAACAATTCCCATGCCAATATTCAATGCTTGGGGGAAGCGTTTTGATTCTTTCATTTGGTTTTCCAGTGGAAGGACCTAAGAAGAGAATGCAATTCTTTTTTAAAGGGAACACGATACTATAAATACCTGAAGTAAATCAAAACAAACTAGAGTTCTGAATTATATACGAAAACTGGCCTTTCTGTAGTTTATATATAAATCTTTTTTCCTTTAAAACAATAACACATATAATTGTTGAAGTGTTTTTCTATGTGTTATATACCTTTTTACACTACATACTTTTAAATCCTTAAAGTAAAAAGACTTGAAATAGCTCTTAGTAAACTTTTCTGTCAGTTCTTTTTAAATAAACTTTTTATTTAGAATAATTTTAGATTTAGAGAAAAGCTGGAACAATAGCACAGAGTTCTCATGTACCACTGACCCCGTTTCTCCTACTGTTAATATCTTATATTACCATGGTACATTTGTTACAACTAAGAACTAACATTGGTACATTACTATCACGTAACTTCAAATTTATTTGGATTTCAGTACTTTTTCTACTGATGTCCTTTTTCTGTTCCAAAAATCCATCCAAGATACCACATTACATTTGGTCCCCATGTCTCCTAAGTCTCCTCTGGTCTGTGACAGTTTCTCAGTCTTTCCTTGTTGTTCATTACCTTGACAGTTTTGAAGAGTACTGGTTAGGTATTTTACAGAATATCCCTCTGTTTGGTTTTGTCTGATGTTTTCCTCATGACTAGACTGGGATTATGGGTTTTAGGGAAGAACATCACTGAGGTGAAGTGCCCTTCTCATCACACATGCTATCAAGATGATTTATCATTAATGATGTTAATTTGATTGCTTAGTTAATGTTTCTCACTGCAAAGTTACTTTTCTTCCCCCTCACCATACTCTATTCTTGGGAAGCAAGTCACTAAATCGAACCCACTCAGATGACTAGAAGGGATTAAGCTACACCTCCTGGAGGGTGGGAGCATCTACATTAATTATTTGGAATTCTCACCCATTTATTTATTCAATCACTTATTTATATTAGCATGGACTCAAGTATATTTGTTTTATACTTTGGGTTATAATCAAGTACTATGTTTTGTGCTTATTTGGTTCCAGCTTTGGCCATTGTGAATTCTATCAGGTTGGCTTCTGTGTCCCTTTGAACATGTCTCCATCCTTTTGGTTTTTGAGCACTTCCTTACTTTCTGGCACTATAAGACGCTGCAGGCTCATCCTGAATTTCCTTGCTTCAACCCTAGAATTAGACATTTCTCCCAAGAACCTTGGTACCTTTTATTGGAGAATGGTATTTAGAAACCAAGATCAGGGCACTGGGTATGCTTATTGCTACTGGGCTATCACTGCTTGTATGCCCTCTCAGCAAACAGAGCTAGGAATGATATGTATATATTAATCCATGCATATGCACATATCTACAGTTATTTCTGTATCTATGCATCTGTATCTATTGTCTGTCAACTTTAGTGAGATTAATAAATGATTTTCACTATGTAAAAAAAATCATTAACAAAAGAAGAAAAGGCTAATTAAAAAGTTAAGTTATTGAGGCAATATATCATCATAGGTTTTGGCCATACAGTTTTATTTACCATAAAGTGAAAAATACTAACTAATAATAATAGCAAATATTCACTAAGTGCTTACAATGTTCCAGGCATTATCTAAAAGCTTTGCAGGCAGCCTCTCACACAGTCTTCACAATAAACCTATGAGATAATAACTCTAATATTTTCCCCACTATTCAGGTAAGTCAGCTCAATATGGAAGCATTAATGGTTAGCAGGAGAATAGAGAGCAGAGAACAATTTGGGTGTTAAGGATATAATCCAGACCTGAAATAGCAGGCAGTGGTCTAGACTAGTGCCAGTGCAGCTAGAAAATGGGAACGGGAAGTGTCATGGATTGAATTATGTCCCCCAAAAAATGTATGTGTCAGTTTGGCTGGGCCATGATCCCTGGTACTGTGAGATTTTCCCATGTGTTGTAAATCCTGCCTCTATGATGTTAATGAGGGAGGATGGGTGGCAGTTGTGTTAGTTAAGGCAGGACTAAATCTACAAGATTGGATTGTGTCCTGAGGCAATCTCTTCAGATATAAAACACAGAAGTGAGCAGAGAGACAGGGGGACCTCATACCATCAAGAAAGCAGTGCCGGGAGCACAGCGCGGTCCTTTGGACCGGGGTCCCTGCGCCGAGAAGCTCCTAGTCTGGGGAACACTGATGAGAAGGCCGAGAGAGAGAAAGCCTTCCCCTGGAGCCGACACCCTGAATTTGGACTTTTAGCCTACTTTAATGTAAGGGAATAAACTTCGCTTTGTGAAAACCATCCACTTGTATTTCTGTTATAGCAGCACTAGATGACTAAGACAGGAAGGAAATGAACATTTACTGAGCTTTTCTCTGTGTCAGGCAGCACTGTAGCAGCATTGTAGCAGCATAGTAGGTATTTTTCATATAATTTCATTTATAGAACAGATTTTGGAAATATGAAAGAAGAATCAACATGTCTTAATTACTGATTGGAACACAGAACCAAGGACAGAGTAGAAAGAGTTACTCCTAGTTTCAAGCTTGAGTGACTGAAAATAAAACCAAAAGAAACAGAGAAATGAGACAATACAGCTGGTTTTGGATGGGAAAGGATGTGTCAGACTTTGGGGTTGTTAAATTTGAGACATCAAAGGAACAATATCTAATTGGAAATGTCCAATAATGAACAAGAGCTCACTAGTTAAAGGCAGAGGTGAAAATCTGCAGTCGTCTCTGCCACAGTGATAACGAGAACTGTGAGAGTTTGTAAGCTCTCTAAAGCAGAATGCAGAGAGAACAGAAACCCGAGTAAAGGGGTATAAAATTATCCTTGAGACCTATTCTGTCTGAGGTTCGTACAAATAAATGTTTACATGTGGTTCTGTTCCCATACCAAATCATCAGACTATGAAACACAAGCTACGGAGCAGAGCAGACGGCAATATTATATTTCCCCAAATCTACAAATTGTAGGCTTGAAATAAACTGGAAGGATCTTGAACAGAGATATTTAAGATCTCAGAATGCTCAGGATACTTGTATCTCTTGGTATCAGCTTTATGATAACATTGTTCATCAAAACAAACATGAGACACAAAAATCTAAAGAGAGAATAATTGATTCTTTGGTAACAGTGACTTTGTAACAACTTCAGTACACTTCAAATGATCTAGTGTGTAAAATATGATGTTTGGGATTTGCCTGAATATAATCTGGGGTTGTGAAAGTAGACTGGATATAAGTAAAACATAACTGGCTATCAGTTGATTATGTTTGAAGCAGGGTGATGTATATACAGGAGTTCAAAACACTATTCTCTGTACTTTTGTGTATGTTTGAAATTTTCCACAGCAAAATGTTTAAAATCAACTAGTCTAATTTCCTCCTTTTGCAGATTAAGAAAATGAGAATTAGGGCATTTAAGTGATACGTTTAAGATTAAACTTTTGGTTAGTGGAAGAAATAAACTATAATTCAAGTCTATCATACTAAACTGCAAATCATGCTCTAGGAATAAAATGGACACAAAAGAGAAAAAGAAAAACATGCTATTTAAAGAGCTTGACTACATAAATCTTTGTACTGATTTAAGACTAAAAAATAATAATAATAAAGACTCAATCCTTACCACTCCTATGCCTTCAAAAGCAAACACAGCAGTACCAAAAAAGAGTGGGTATTTCTTCCAACCAGCCACTATTGGAAGGTTGTGGGGATCTGGCATATTCTGGAGAAAGAAAGGAAAAAATAAGACAGGTTACGCTTTTGCTTATTTTAAAGAATTCAGAATTAAAGAGCAAAATCATATACTTCTGAGCTTCCTAACAGCAAACGTGTTGTAAAAGTGAACAATTCTCTTAATACATACTGTAAGCATCCTACGTTAAAAGTAACTAAAAAAACAGTTGCTATCAAGTCCAACGCATAGCGACCCTATAGAACAGAGTAGAGCTGCCCCATAGGGTTTCCAAGGAGCAGCTGATGGATTTGAACTGCTGACTTTTTGGTTAACAGCTGAGATCTTAACCACTAGGCCACCAGGGCTACAAATGTAGCCAAGCTGTCAGGATTTCACTGCCAAAAGCATTTATTTCCCTCAACTGTTGCTAAATACATTCCATCTGAGCCAAATGCTCCTGATACCTGCTTTCACCTTCTAAAGGCCCAGGCTATTCACACTAGGTACGGTTCCTGCCACAACAGGAAATACATAAGCATACTCAAGGTCTGAGCTGAGAGCCATGTAGTTGGTTATCAAGACTTACGCTGCTGTTTGTGCCCAACAGGAATTAATTCTCCACTCTATCGGTATTGCTCTTTCAGTCCTTTAAGATACCTGGTTCCTCACTTTGGCTTTCTACCTCACAACTCTGTGCTGCTCCCTGTCATCCTGGTGTCAGTGTTTTACTCTTTGACCTAACAGTTGTCGTTATCCTTATTTGTGTATATATGCCTTGGCTCTGGCTTTGATTACTTGGTCCTGACTCACAGCCTTGTTCCCAATCTTACTATCTGGACAAACTCACAACACTGCACATTTAATTCAAGATCTCCGGCTCCACAATGGCCACTTTTTCCAGCTACCCCAAGTCTGGTCCCTACTCTTCTCACTATCCTGCATTCTTTGCCTCTTCTGATTGAGAGTGGAATTCATGGCAAAGTAAAGAGCATAAACGAAGCAACTGAAGTGTAAAAGAACATGGATAATCTGGGGTGTAGAGAGGTCTAGAACATCTGAAGCACAGGTAAACTAGTAGGATATTAATGGTGACACATGGCTGAAAACATAAGCTAGGGTCGGAATGCAAAGGGTATTAAAGTGGATCACTCAATAATGTTGTTAGGTGCCATCACGTCAATTCTGACTCATAGCGACCCAATGTGACAGAGCAGAACTGCCCCATAGGATTTTCTAGGCTGTAATTTTTATGGAAGCAAATCGCCAGGTCTTTTCTCCCACAGAGCCGCTGCGTGAGTTCCAACTGCCAACCTTTCAGTTAACAGCTGAGTGCTTAACCACTGCGCCACCAGGGCTCCGTCATTCAATAATAAAACCAAAACCAAACCCACTATCGTTGAGTCGATTCCAACTCCCTGTGACCCTACAGGACAGAGCAGAACTGCCCCATAGTTTCCAAGATGCACCTGGTGGACTCAAACTGTCAACCTTTTGGTTAGCAGCTATTGCACTTAACCACTACGCCACCAGGGTTTATTCAAAAATACTCAACTGTTATTCAAGGCAAGCAGCAGGATGGTATTTCACTTCATGCTTCAGCTCATCCTGTTTCCTTTACCCGGGAACTTCTGTTTCTGCTCCACTAACTCTCACCTGTTCAGCTAAGGTGTCATGAACTCCAGAAAAGCCTTACTTGATCATCCTGCCCGCTCCCTCTCCACTCAGATTAGCTAAGTGTCTCTTCTGCCTATATGTTTCCAGAGCCACTCCTCACCTCTATCACTACATCTTTGCAATGAATTATAAGTTAACTGCGTCCATGTCCGTCTCTCTTGCTCCTTCCTCAAATGTAAGGACCGATGCATTATTCACCTTTCTATCTCTGATACACAGTAGGCACTCAATAACTATTCTCTGAACTGTTGACATCATCCCATAATTGGTGTCAATGGGCTCAGCAGAGAATGAAGTCAGAGTCACCGGTCAAAGGCTACTACGGTAGAGATCCAGGGGCCTAAACTAGAAAACCAAACCAACAAAGCCAAACCACTGCCACTGAGTCAATTCTAACTCACAGTGACACCACAGGGTTTCTAAAGCTGTGAATCTTTAAGGAAGCAGACTGCCACATCTTTCTCCCACGAAGCAGCTGGTGGGTTTGAACTGCCAACCGTTTGGTTAGCAGACGAGTGCTTTAAGCACTGTGTCACCAAAACAGAAAACCAAGCCCATTGCACTGAGTTGATTCTGACTCATAGCGACCCTACAGGACAGAGAACTGCCCTACAGGGTTTCCAAGGAGCTCTGGTGGATTTGAATTGCCACCCTCTTGGTTAGCAGCCAAGCTCTTAACCACCATGCCACCAGGGCTCCTAAACTAGAAAAAGGGGTGGCGAAACTTGAAGAGGAAGATAAAAATTATAATAAAGTTACAATTAATAGGACTTGGAATCTCAGAATTTCTAAAAAATATGAAAACTTAATTAAAGTTGGCTAACTTCAAAAAATTGATATACCCAACTTAAAGGAACTCCCAATAACTAAAGCTGGGACAGTTTGAGCAAAAAGTGAATAATGATAGTGGATTATAATTCACAGAATAAAACAAATATCCCTTAATCATACTGATATAAATAAATCACTGAGTAAAGTAATACATGGGGAGGAACAACAGGAAAAAAATCTACATAAAAACAATTACTAGACACACTAAGTAGCCCTAGTGGCACAGTGGTTAAGAGTTATGGCTGCTAACCAAAAGGTAGGCAATTTGAATCCACCAGCCGCTCCTTGGAAACCCTGTGGAGGAAGTTCTACTCTGTCCTACAGGGTCACTATGAGTTGGAATCGACCCAACAGCAACGGGTTTGTTTTTTTTTTTTTGGTAGATATTCTAAAGAACAGATCCTTAATTCCAAGAGGATTTCTGTTATTTAAATTTGTTTTATTAGTTAACAATGAGTTGATGAGGTTGAATGTAAAAAAAATCTAATACTGAATGTTTACTATAACAACCAATTGACTATTAATCATAAATGAAGAAAAAAAGCATCCTTTGAAATTATGCAATTAATGGAAATATTGGATTGAGTTTTTAAAAAAACAAACTTTAAGGGTCGTTTACATTTAAACGTTATCATCATTTTTATTGCTAAATTAAAAATAAGTCTCCTTAGTAACTTTTTTTATAATAACAAAGCACATCCTAAGAAATTTACTCAAAACAATAACGATAATCTAGTGGAATATAATAATGAAGGTTACCAGATTATTTCACTTAACCTTGTAACACTTACCCTGCCAAAGCAGGTTATTTTACCAAATTAACTACACTTATTAAGATGCTCAGCTATTATATGTAATGTACTCTGTATGATTTATATATGTAATTTAAGTGAATCAAAATGTTTTATTTCATATTTTAATAGTATTAAGTTCAAATGTCATTCTGTTTTGACTCCAAAGCAACAGTTGCACCTAAAATGAATCATACTAAAAATATCATGATCATAGACAAATACTGAATCTCTACTACATGTAAAGCACCAAAAAGAGATACTACCTCCATCAAAGAAGTTATACTTCAATAGAGAAGATGATAATTATAACAATAGCTGCAGCAGTAGCAATAGTAGTGGTTAACATTTTTGAGAATTAAAGGTGCACTGATTTATTCACATACTGTGTGCAAACCAGGTCCTAGAATAAGGGAGAGCTAGAGGCAGAGCTATTATTCAGAGATACCTGGACATTCTCCACAACAGGAATGTGACCTTGCTGATGCTGAGCTTGTTTAAAGAGACAGAAGGGCCAATGTTTACAAATAGAAGTGTGGATAATGTAATAGAGATTCTTCCAGAATGGTGAACCCCAAGGACAATAAAGAGCAGTGGTAAAAATTCAATTGTTGGTCGACTCTGGCAAGACCCTCTCTGCTTAAAGACTGTCACTGGGGCTACAGGACCCATTAGGGAAAGCCACAGTTATTCCTGTTCTGTTTTACCATTCTACTTCCCTGAAGATTCTGTATTTTGTCTTAAAGAAAATATCAAGATATTATAATTCATGCTGCACAGAACATTTTTCCCACAATCCACAACCCACTGGAAACATTATACACCCTTTTTATTTAACCCTCATGACAACCTTGTGAGTTAGGTATTAATAATGAGCCCTGGTGGTGCAGTGGTTAAGCATTCGCTGCTAACTGGAAAGGTCAGCATTTCTAATCCACCAGCCACTCCCTGAAAATCCTATGGGGCAGTTCTACTCTGTCCTATAGGGTCACAATGAGTCAGAAACAACTCGACAGCAATGGGTTTGGTTTTGTTTTTTTTTATTATTCTCATTTTATAGATGAGTAAACTGAACTTTAGAGAGGTTATATAATATGCTCAAAGTAAAAAGCTAATAAGTGATGGAGCTGGGTATTCAAATCTAAGTACCTGTGACTTCAAAGCTGCCAACTCTTCTTAATAAAAAACAAAAACTACGTGCCATAAGAGAAAGACTATATGCTTTGGAATTCGGGGGGGTAGGCAGGGGAATGAACCAAAGGTCCACCATAAGAAAGTTTGTAATGAACTGCTAATGGAGATTTGAGAACAATTACTTTGGCAGCTGTATATAAGATGGATTGGATCGTGAGAGAACAGAACAGGGATTCTCAACCTTTTTTGGGTCACTGGCCCCTTAAAAGGATGAAAGCTATACTGCTGCTCAGCAGAAAAAAAATACAATATACATATAGAAACATTAAAACTTGCAAACGATTTTAAGGGCTCTGCACATCCTGAAGCCCATCAGCAGATTCTTCTAAGTAAACTGGAGTGAGAACCCCAAGACTATGAACAATGAAATCAGGTGAGGTTACTACATACTTCAGATAAAGAGGTTACAAACTGTGTAGTGGCAGTGGATCGAAGTGGCGGCAGCAAATAAAGCATACAGAAGTGAAAGAAAATTATGGAATAATACCTATTACACCCATCTCTTATGAATGGTTCAAATCTTAAAGAAATAAAACATTTAATGAATTCATTATTTCATGTTAGTCATTGTACTAAGAGCCCAATCCTAAATCTCACAACTCTAATAGGGGAGGCATTACTATTTTCTGAAGCACTGTCAGAGAGCCCAGAAGCATACTTACCAAGATTCAAAATCAGATCTAACTACAAAGCCTGTGCTTTTAATCTCTGTCATACATTCTTCCATTTAACCAGTACCCCCGAAAAGGAAACCAACAGTTACTGATTCATCTACTATGTGCCACATATCTAGTAGAGGTCTTTACATATCATCGCTTTTACCTCCAAACAAAAAAATTTTACTAATTTAAGAAATATATGATTCTCAGTTCAAAACATGTTATACTCACCCTAATGACGTATTGGTAAATTATCACAAGACTGACAGCCATGGAAACGTTGGCAAGGAATGAAAGCACAAACAGATTCTTTAGGTCACGAATGAAGACCAAAAGAATTATAAATGGAAGAAAGCAAAGCATATATATCCTTAGGTCAACACTTCTTCTCTCACATAAATTTGATGCATTGGTACTATTTGAAACAAACACATTACTCTCCAGAAATCCTTCATGAACCTATACAGGAATATTGGGAGAATAAGGAAGAAGGAAAAAACTTCCATCAAGTTACAAAGAATATTATGATCTATACACCATATGATAAATTACTATGATACATTTTGCAATCAAAATAAAATATTTATATTTTTCCAAAATTCTCTGGCTTTCTAGAAACATAATTAAAACACGATAATCTTTGCAAAATAACTTTGAAAATGAAGTTCATTAGAAAAATATGAGGAAGGATTTATTAATTTATTTTTAAGTTTTATGACTATCCATCATGCTCATGATCCCTGCAAAGAATCTGCTTTTGAAAGTATTAAAATTGGGAGCACACTTATGCAGAGTGGCAACTGGGTATTTTAATTACTTTCTTCAGAGTAAGAAACAAGCTCTAAGTACATCTTAGACATGTACAGTATTCAAAATAAAATTTAAAAATCATAACCTTACTTTAAATGTGTTTTATAGAGCAATTTTTTAATAAATTATCATCATGAGCAATAAATATTTATTAAGAATCCACTAAGTTCATGCATGGTTACATGCTAGACAGTAGAGAAATTTTTGCTAGAGCAAAAATCTCCTACAAGATAAATCAATTTTACCTTAAGACTGACTTAGCTACTTCTCTAACCCAATTTTCAATTTTCAAAAGATATAGTGACTCAAAGGCATCATATAATTTAAAATATCTCTGACTTAATTAGTCATACAATCCAGTTTAGTCAGATAGAAATGAAATTATAGAGGACATCAGAAACAATCTTAAAAATGTGCAACAGAGATAAATCATGCTATAATTTAAATACCAGTGAAAATCTATTTTCCCACAAACACTGTAGTATCTTTTGAATACACTAACATTATCAAATTTCTGGACACATAAATTCCTCAGAACCAGACCCCATAATAATAATAGCTAGTATTTTTTGAGCATTTTCTATGTGCCAGATACTGCACTTAATGCGTTATATACAACATCTCATCTAATCCTAAAAACAACTCTCTGAGGTGGGTGATAGTATTAATTTCAATTTATAACTGAGGAAACTGAGGGTTGCAAAGGGTAAATAACTTGCATAATATCAAGCCAGTAAGTGGTAGTTCTAGGATTCAAACCCAAGTCTGAAACTACAGAATCTAGCTTGTAACAGTTATATATCAACCCTGAAAGGGGGACCTTGTCCATGTAGCCACCTGGCCTCCTCTTTGACATCTCTCTAAATGTATTAAGTATCAAGAGGCCAACAAATGGGAAGTTTAAAACAAAATTCTGATAGATAATTCAAGTTGTTTCTTCTACTTTAATTTTACTCTTAAAATTAAGTGTAAGCAATATTAGTGCCACTACAAATGTACACATCATCTTAGGCAGCACAGAATATATCTGCAAGTTTGAAGGTATATAGGCAATTTATAACTCATACTGGACTCACAAACTCTCAAGCTATACCATGTACCACTTAAAAAACACATAGCCCACATTTAAATCTTGTAACTGGCCATCAAAATTTTAAATTTTATTGTCTATATTTTGAAACAGAAACAAAATTATAATTCACATTTCTTGGCTTTTAAGAACACATTTTATTTGTTGACTCAATTTTTCAGTAACCAAATTATTTAGAGCCAAGAATTTCTGATCAAAGCAGTACCTACAAATAATTAAATTAGACAATGATCAACAAGGATACCTGGCAAGAAGAGAAGCAGTTACGTAATCAATTTAAAAAACAGCCAAACTGCCAAGTGCTTGGGAATTTAATATTAATTTTATCACAAATATCTCATAATATTTTAGCATTCCTTGACAGAAAGATGCTTATAAAAATTCTCAGGATTCAAAAGTAAAATAAAATAAAGATGTAGATACATACCTAGAGCAAGATTCAGGTAAACATTTGAGTCCTTTGGTGCCCTCTAGAGACAGAGATTGGCTATCTAATAGGACTTCCTATGATCTCACATGTTTACCAAAATGTAAAACACTGAAATAAATATTATAAAATAAGATTACTAAATTCAGTTGTTTCCACCTAGAGCTCAAACTTACTAAAAGCCACTACTTTTCAATGATTCAGTAATTTGTTATAATTCCAAAGGCAGATTATGTTCTTTAGCAAAGCTAAATGCAAAATGAAAATTAAATTCATAGTACCCTACATTTGTATACTGTTTTACATTTTACAAAGGCTTTCACAAGCCTTTGGTCAGCTGAACCTTACAATACGTTTATGATGAATTAGGGGAGATTCTGTTATTATTCCCATTTTACAAATAAGGAAACTGAGGCTTGACCGAGGTTAAGGGGGTCTTGCCCAATGTTTAAGTTAAAACTGACAGAGCAGGGATTTAAACTCAGATCTTCTGACTTAACGTTCATGGTCTTTGATGTCACTGCATTTTTTTTTTCCTTTTAATGTAATATTCCTTCTCCATACCCATATACAGTATTTTATCTAGCTGGAATTTTCTAGAGTATCTTAGATAAGAACAAAGAGAGGAAATACCAGAATCAAGATGGACTAGAAACGAAGGGAAATACTAGCTTCTATTTCCCCTAGCACTCACCCATAATGACATAATGAGACCAAGAAAAACCATGTAGAAGTTATAAAGCAGAAGGTTTCCACATCTGCATGGCAACTAGACCCTTAATTCTTTGGGCTGATGAAATACTGAACCTTCAGTTTCATGCAGATTAAGGTGGTAACATTTTTCAATGTAACAATAGTAGTAATTGGTATAGTTTGATCAACCAGTGTGTCTACTATTATACACTGCTATCAAAGGTAAAAGATCACCTCTATAGAAAGGGTGAAAATCTCTGATCTCACGTAGCTTCAGTGACCATCTGTCTTCTATGCCCAGTAATGTATTCACCCTTGTTTTCAACTATTTTCTTAAGCCTGAACAGCATGTCTTTTTTCCATGCTGCTTTTTATGCCACAAAAGGACTTTCATCTTTCTATCTGCAGCAGGCATTCTCTTTGCCTCCCAGAGAGTCACTTTTTCTACCTGATTGTCTCAGGATATGTGCACATGAGTTAAATTTTCCTTTTAACTTTGGATGCAATTGATAGTATTTCATAGGAAAAATCACCAAACCTAAGCTCACAGACATTTCTTTTATCCACTTTATCTACTCTGTATGTGTTACACAGACATACAACTAAGACAATATCCTCTCTAGAGATGAACAATTAACACACTGGGTGACAGCTGTGTCAGAGACTTAAATGTCAGCTCAATTCTACATAACTTAGACAACGCACAACTCATGCTTTATAAGACTCAGTTTCCTCATTCATAAAATGAGCATAGTACTTACTTCACAGAGTAGTTGTAAACATTAAATGACACATGTCATAGCTATATAAATATAAGATTGTAAGGCATCATTAGTATCATTCACAAATTCAGAGGCTTATCAGTAGTTCTCTTAGGAAATTATAAAAAAGATACATCATTATCAGGTTGTACAACTCCCGAAAGGCATCGTTCCCATTGTATTCTATATAAATGACTTATAAGATGCTAGGTCTTGTCTCTTGCCTCTTAAATGAGGTAGGAGTCCTAGGAACACGCTACTTGTGGGATTAAACACATTTGTACTATCAAAAGCACATCATCTATAATGGGTAATGCTAATGAAAGCACTGAAGCTTTATTTTGATAAACAAAAAAGCATAAACAGGACTCTAATTAACTCTAATTGTTAATTGTTGCCCCTTTTCTATCTCTTCTGCTCCTCTCATCTCCCTTTACTCTCACTAAAGTCTTTTGCTCTATTCTATAGTAACACTACGTCTGAGGGAACACCTATAACTAAAGGAATGGCAATGGTTTAAAGATTTTTTTCCTTCAGAAAAGCTTGTGTAAGAATTTGTTTGTAAATATCTAGGGAAACAGAAATAGTCTGGAAGTAGGATATTTGGAAAAAGAAATAAAATCAGGCTGGAAAGAGAAACTACATAACTTATTGAGGCTCTCAGATCTAGGAAGCATCTAAGAATGCCCTGGCTAGAACTGCCAGCAGTCATAAAACTAATCTCCTGATGCCGTACCTTTTATAGAAGCAAGGAGAAATAGCTATGGGTGTGAGAAACCAAGCTAAAACAATCATGCAGGCGCTGACAGACAAGGATTGAGAGAGCAAATAGGAGAATGAGTGTTTGAACAAGGATGCGAGCAACAAGGAAAGTGGCAGGGGGGAAATCAAGCAGAAGGGTTAAACCCATTCAGACAACAAAATTTACTGAGCACTTGCTCAATAAACCAGGTACAGTACTAGGTCCAAGAACTAAAGAGATTAAAAAGAAATAATCCCTCCCTGTCTAGGGAATTCATTTCCCTTCCAATTTAATAACTGTCATGGATTGAATTGTGTCCCCCAAAAAATGTGTGTAGCACCTTGGCTAGGTCATGATTCCCAGTATCATATGACCGCGTTATCTGATGTGATTTCCTTATGTGTTGTAAACTCTACCACTATGATGAGATTATATGTGATCTCCTCATGTGTTGTAAATTCTATCGCTGTGATGAGGTTATACTAATGAGGTTGACAAGATCAGTGTCTTAATGAAATCTCTTTTGAGATATAAAAGAGAGAAGCAAGCAGAGATACACGGGAACCTCATACCACCAAGAAAGCAGTGCCGGGAGCAGAGCGTGTCCTTTGGACCTGAGGTTCCTGCGCAGAGAAGCTCCCAGATCAAAGGAAGACTGATGACATGGACTTTCCTCCAGAGCCGATGGAGAAAGCGTTCCCCTGGAGCTGATGCCCTGAATTTGGACTTGTAGCCTACTGGACTGTGAGAGAATAAATTTCTCTTTGTAAAGCCATCCACTTGTGGTATTTCTGTTGGAGCAGCACTAGATGACTAAGACAATAACCATCTGAATACCTATAATATGCCAGGCACTCTTAGATGCTAAGTGAACACAACAGATATGGCTGTCACTTCCCTCATGGGGCTTGCAGTCCGGTGGTGAAAATTAACTTGTAGATTAATGCTAATCAAGTATGATTGAGGCTATTTTAAAAAGTGCTACAGAAGAAGAATCAATAGGTTCTGGCAAGAGACGAAGAAAGGGAAGGGGTGGAAGGGAAAGTTGAGGAAGGTTTCACAGAGCAGATGACATTTAAGCTGGGTGTTGAACTTTTCCAGACACAAAGAAAACTTCTCCAGATGATGTTGCTAAGGGAATAGACACAGCATGTTAGAAAGAACACTAATTGGAAATCCAAGCTCTGATTACTAACTAGCTATGACCCTTTAAGATAAGTCTATAATTTATAAAAGAGAGTTTGACTAGATGAGCTCTTCAAACATTAAAAATCTAAGCTAGTTACCTCCGAGGTTCACTGTTCAGCCTGGGAGTGGACAGCCCCGTAAAACCAAATGAGACCAACGAGGTACAGGAGTCCAGTGACAAGGGCCAGATGGCAGAAGGGGACAAGGAAGCTGGTGATAGGGAACCCAAGGTTGAGTAAGGATATTCTTGATGTGTTGTGAGATTGTTAACCGTTGTCATAGGGCAACATTTGTAGTAACTGTTAAATGAGAAACTATTTTGTTCTGTAAGTCTTCATCTTAAGTGAGAATAACAGCACAATTGGAAGAGCGTAGTCAATGTCACTGAACTGTGTATGTAGAAATTTTTGAAACGGTCTATCTTTGGCTATGTGTATCTTCACCAAAAAAAAAAAGGTTGAGAAGTTAGAGGGTTAATATGTTGTGGGGTTGTTAACCAATGTCATAAAACAACATGTGTACTACTGTTTCATGAGAAACTATTTGTTCTGTAAGCCTTCACCTAAAGTACAATAAAATATTTTAAAAAAAATGAAAAAAAAAAAACTAAGCTAGTGGCTCAAATACGGCATTCAGGGATAGTCTAAACTATAGCCCACAAACCACATTCAGCCTACCACTTATTTTTGCAAGTAAGATTTTATTGGAATACAACCATGCCTATTCATTTAGGTATTGTCTATGGCTGAGTCGAGTAGTTGCATCAGAGACTACATGGCCTGCAAAGCTGAAAATAATTGTCTGACGTTTATAGAAAAAGTCTGTCAACCCTTGGTTTAAATATAAAGTGATTCACGCTTTATACTTAGAAAAGAGAGCCAAACATACAACTATAATATAGGTTCTTTAGAAAATGTATTCACATCACCATTTTGCATGGGAACACCCACAAGTACTGTATTTTACTATATATACTGCTTACTGTTGCACCATGCACATGTGGATAATTAATAAATGTTATTGCTGAAAATAATCATTAAAGAAAGTAAGGGGTAACTTAGGAATAATAAAAACAATCTATTAGTTACCAAAAAAAAAAAAAAATGTTCTTTGGCATTATTTTGATAGGAGGAGCTTTGATTTCAGTGCTTTGCCTGTTTGTCCAAACAGGCTGTCAGTCTCTACCAAGGCTGCAAACCACTTCCTCTTAAAGCAAACTGCCATAATATAGAGAATCACAGGTAACTGTACAATTTTGGACATAGTATCTTTTTAGACAATGGCAGTAATTATTAGATTTTAGTGATGCCCTCTTTTTTACTTCACTTTTTAGGCAGCTGACTGAAGCCTTATATATTTCTTTACAGGACACTGATGTAAAGAATATACTCCCAAAATTTCTGTGTATATGCTTTTGAGACCTGGTAGTGCAGTGGTTAAGAGCTTGGCTGCTCACTTAAAGGTCGGCGGTTCCAATCCACCAGCCACTCCTTGGAAACCCTATGGAGCAGTTCTACTCTGTCCTATAGGGTCACTATGAGTTGGAATGGACTCCACGGCAATGGGTTTGTTTTTTTTTTTTTTTTGTTAGGAATCAGTAAATTATGTCCTGTTCTGATCTAAATGAACAAGAGTTATTGATACTATGGCAAGCACAGTAAAATCAACAATAGCAGCAGAAATCCAACTTACAAAAAAGAAGATGAAAGGAAAATCTACAAAGGAACATCATTTATGAAAAGACCATATTTTCATACTCAAACATGGCTTCTGCAGAGGAAATATGATGCCACAGCTAGGACATGAAAAGGAAAGAATTTCAATAACTGGGGGAAAATACTCACTTGTTTCACATTTTCGGCTAAGAAGACAATATAAACACTACAGAATCCCAGCTGTGTTATCACCAGAAAAAAGTCAACCACACTCCTGAAAAGAGATATCCACAATATGTATCAATAACGGCTGCTGAAATGTCAACGTATTTTATTTCTCTTGTTAAATGTTTAAAAACATTTTACAATAGTGTATATCCTTTATTTCCTTAAAATAAGAAACATTTAAAATATTTATTTTCTACAAAGATCTACATTTATAAGCCGTTTATCACTAGAATTATTACAGAGCAAAAGGATGGTCAGTTAAATTAAAAGGCCAAGATTTTTCCATCATTATCTGTTTTTGAAATTCAATAACTGAGCCATAAATGGGTATATGCTTATAAAATGGTTTCATAAAAACATTTCGCTTTTTAGATTAAGCCCATTTCTCCCACTTAAGATTTCTTTCAGATTAACTCAGCATACTTCCCATCCCTCAAGCTTCATGTCATTTGCAAATATGATGAGCACGCTCTCTACTACCCAAATTACTAACAAAAATATGGAATGGGAGAGAACTAGGGGCATGGTCCTAAGCATACCACCAAAGACTTCTTCGGTAGCTTTTTTTTCTGTTATTTTTTAATGAGATACTCAAGAAAATTCAAGCTACATAAAATAATATAGGGGAATAGAACAAGATATAACCACAGACATCAGTCAGATGGGCATTATCTGGGTATGGTAGTTAAACAAGTTACAAATTTGCCTACATGTTAGTAATATATAACCCAGACGTCTCCATTTTGTCCTGAGAACAATCAGTGACTACAATAGCAAGCACTTACTAATTCATTCTAGTCTCTTGTCTGACCATTAATGTCAAGCTGTCAAACAACCTAATCTACAAAAATCTATAGATTCTCCTTCTCCTATCTGAAACTGGAAGGGCCTTGCTTTGTTTTCATTCTTGCCATAACTCTACTGTTCTCCATAATTTTTCAGGGATCTCATTAGTAAGTTGGTACCCTGAAATGAATTCAAGTCTTTTCTCTCTGATAAATGACATTTAAGGATTCTCTTACTATTTCTTCATTCACCTTTGAATTTACCGTCCTACCAACAATCTTTCCAGCCACTTCTATGTGAAAGTCATTCTTCATGATAGAAAAACAGACAAGCTGTCTTTAGACCGGGGCAGAGAAAGGGGCAAGATGGGGTTCTAGGTTCTGGTGGTAAGTTTCTAAGACATTAGGTTCTGTTTCCTTCTTTCTCATACTCAGCTTATCAGGCACTCTGAGATAGTTCATAAACAAATCTAACTCCCTGAAATACCCCAGAAAGGCCATATTTAACCATATGTACTCACGGTGTTCCTTTTCTTCTTTTAATTCCCAAAGCACATATGATTTGAACCACAGTTAGCATTTTGCTAACTGCCTATGCTTCCTTATTTTTCCAATCTTGTGTTCACCTGAGATGAGCCCTGGTGGTACAGTGGTTTAAGTGCTCAGCTTTATTCTAAAGTGTTCAGCTGCTAACTAAAAGGTCGGTAGTTCGAACCCAGCAGCTGCTCCATGAGAGAAAGATGTAGAAATCTGTTTCTGTAAAGATTTACAGCCTAGTAAACCCTACGCGGCAGTTCTAGTCTGTCCTTTAGGGTCGCTGTAAGTTGGAATCAACTCAATGGCAATGGGTTTGGTAACCGGTTTGGGTGTTCACTTGACTTTCATTAGCCCTGTCCACCAATGATAGTTATATTTAAACAATAATAAAACAGGGTTATGCAAAAATACAGCTATACCTCAGATGTCCTATAAGCATGCAGCTAAACACCATAACTTTATCTGAAATAATGAGATCACAGTATCTTTCTTGCTTTTTTCCTCTTTATTTACAAAAAAAATATTGAACCTTATTATGTCATAAGCTGACCAGGTGCTTTATAAACAGCATTTAATCTACCATAACAATCCTGTGACATGAGTATTATTATAACTCATTTCCTGACTTTTTTCATTAACATATAAAACCAAAACAAAATGATAAATAATTTGACCTAGGTCATAAAACTGGAAATTGCTAGAGTTGGTATTTTAACCCGTCTGTCTAACTATAAAGGTTCTTTGTGTTTATTCCCCCAACTCTATGGTACTTCTATCCTTGTCAGATTAAAATACTTGAAAATTAATACAATCTTGACAACCAGATAGATATTCATAGCATAGCAAGTACTCACCGTCCCCATGCAGCTTGCTTCTGAAGACAACCCCATGGGCTCACTTCCATAGCAAAACTCACAGTGTCACTATAACCTAATGTTGATTTTTTAAACCTGTAATTTAATGCCATACATATTAAAGAAAAATTTTAATTTAGTCCATCAAACCATTCCTTGAAAAGAACATTAAACAAATGAGAATTAATGAATGCAGGGGTATGTAATGACACAGGAGTTTTTGAAATTTCAAGATTTACATGAATTCTCTCTCCCAAAGCATGTCTCATGAAATTTTTTAATTGTATATCTGTTCTTCTTACAAACATATTAGTTTTTACTGTTAAAGTTTATACATCTGTAGACTTCATGTAATTAATATTTGTGGTTCACTGATTTAAATATTTCAATTATATAAAAGCATCAACTACACTGTTCATGTTTAAATTATTAAGTTTTTAGAAGGGCATAATTTAATAATATATCTGTAGAGGGCTTTACAATATACTTTCACATAAACTATCTCATCTAATCCTCAAAATAGCTCCATGAGATAGGTATTATTTCCCCATTCTCTATTTTTATTTTTTTTCAAGTACATATTGTTATTTAAAGATCATAAATGACTCGCCCAAAGTTTTGAGAGCAGTAAAAAAAAAAAAAAAGTCAAGGTCAGAATACTGGTCTAGTATAACAGTCAGTACTTAACATGTACACACACACACACACACACTAAGTTGGTCCATTGTCCAGTAGGGGCAAGTCATGATATATATGAAGAAACAAGAATATTATTTTATTGACTATCTACCAACACATACATCAAAGAGCATCAGAGGCATTATGTACAGGGTAGCCCAAAACTGAGTTATCGACAAATTAAAAGTCATATTGCTGCATTCATTTCTTGCACATATCTTTCCTGACTTTTTTCATTTACACTAAATAAACTATTCCATTTTACTAACAAGGCTACATTTTAAAAGAAGTGGATAGATTTAAATCATGCGAAGTACTGTCCTCTCCCATATGTATTATCTTAGACTTGTCTATATAACAGATTACAGGAAATACAACTCCCATTTGTAAAGCAAAGTAGAAATATAAGACTATCTGATGCTTTCAAATAAATAAATAGTTTTAAATAAATTAAGTAGACTTAGCAAATCCACATTTACCTCTGACATAAAAAGTGACTGCAACGTACCAATATGTGCATACAGTGAACAGAAATAATTCCTATAAAGACAAGGCTAATTGGTCCAAGCTGTGGGGAAGAAAATTTACAATATAAGGGTCAAATATTTAAGTTTTACAAAAACTCAGCTGCCTTATAAGCAATGAGACAATGAGCTACTCATGTGCAGTGATTAATATTTGCTGAACAAAATGTTTATATTTGCATAAAATAGGATTAATAAATTCAAATACAGGAAGAATTTCATGTAATATTTGAGAAAACCACATAGGATTCTCTATAATCAAACTGGCTACCCAAACCTATAGAATATAGACTAATGATACGCAACAAAGTAGGGCAGAAACAACATTTTATTTAACATCAGATGGCAAGTCTATGACTACCAGTATCCCATCATTATAATTATATGCAACCATAAATCATTGTTCTAAATTACTAAAAAGCACTATATCAAACTGGGATTGTGGGCAATCTACTCTACTACAGGTTGTTACAACAAAAAAAAAAACCCGTTGCCATCGAGTCAATTCCAACTCATAACGACCCTATAGGACAGAGCAGAACTGCCCCACAGCGTTTCCAAGGAGCACCTGATAGATTCGAACTGCGACCTTTTGGTTAGTAGCCGTGGCTATTAATCACTATGCCACCTGGGTTTCCAGATAGAGTATACATATGCAACAAAGTAGGACAGAAATAGCATTTTATTTAACATCAGATGGCAAGTCTATGACTACCAGTACCCCATTATTATAATTATATGCAACCATAAATCATGACTCTAAATTACTAAAAAGCACTGTGTCAAATGGGGATTGCAGGCAATCCACTCTTCTACAGGTTGTTCGTTAGGCACTTACTATGTGCAAGGAACTGTGCTTGGAAGTAAACACGAGAGGTAAACAAGGCAAGCACAGTTTCTGATCTCATTAAGTTTAAATATATGCTCATGTTTTATATTTAAAAAGTACTTGAAAAAGTGATACATAAAAAATTTCAAATATTTATTACTAAAAATTTCAAGTACTTACTAAAATTGAAGTAATGACTGGATTATCAAGATACATCCAAAAAACTGCCAAAGTTTATTTTTATAATCAGAAAATTTTAAGTTGTTCTAAATTAGGATGGACAAAATAGTGAAAGGCAGAGAAAGATAAGTTAAAATTGTTTAGTTAGAAAACTTTTCAATTAAGAAAAGGTCAAATATAATTCCATTATTTTGTAAGTGCATTCTTTCACATATCAAGCGTCTCTGTGATTACAATAATTGGTTTTAATTATGCTTTAAATATTTGTCTTTGAAAGATATTATTAGTCTTTTTAAAACTATTTCTTTGAATCTTAAAACTACATATTTTATTGAGTCTAAAAACTATAACATTTCCCAATATGAATAATGTTTTCTCTAAGCGTACTTAAAGCCCCTAGGTGCTACAAACAGTTTGCACTAGACAATGATCCTAAAGGTTGACAGCTTAAGCCAACCCAATGGTTGCTTTGAGTCAGAATCAACTCAAATGCCATGGGTTTTGGGGTTTAACAGTACCTTGGAAGAAAGGTCTGGCGATCTGCTTCCATTAAGATTATAGCCAAAACAGCCCTATGGAGTAGTTCTACTCTCTAATGCAAGGTGTCACCATGAGTTGGAATTGACTAGATGGCAATGAGTTTGGTTTGGTTTTCGTTGTAACTGTGTTTGTTGAAATGAATACATTGTTTAACATCCTGAAAATCTAAAATAATAATAAGATATAACTATACCTAGGAAAATCAAATATTGTTTTAGGATCTTTTTTTTTTTTTTTTTTTTTGTCAAATACTACAAATTAGTATTTAATTAAGTAGAAATGAAGAACAAACATAATTGATTCTCATTTTTTGTTGGACATCATCATCATAGTTCACATAATTTTAAAATACAACAGCAAAATGATTACTTAGTTATCACCTGACGAAGTTTTATTTGACTAAATAGCTAAAGTTAGGACAGATGTTAGCTTAAGTCAGACTGCTTGCTGTAAATTAGACTGATTACTATATATTAACTTGAGATCACAAAAATAAGTCTTACCACTATGCCTGCATTTTTTATTGCCAATGGAAGTCCTAAAAGGCCAGTTCCAATATTTCCTTTAAGAAGATGCATAAGAGTTTGTATAAACCTGCAAAGTAAAAGTTTTAAGATTTAAATACTTTAGAACAAAATCTATTAAAATCACATGACTATGGTTTTAGCATTAGAGGGGAACTAGCAATTCATCTAGGCAAGCAACCAAGTAACATTTCTATTCAACCACTAGTTTAGAAGTCATACTTGGCTCAAGTTCTATCTTCGCCACTTAATAGTAGGATACAGACGGTTACTGCAAAGATTACTGAGATATTTTAGTAAAAGTGTTTTGTACATAGTAAATTAATAAAGATATAGCAATTTTCTCATACTTTGTGATAAATTTATGTACATTACATCTTCAATTTAGAACAATGCTGAATGATTATATACAGTTAGGCTGCTAAGAGAGTTATTTAATGACACTGTCTATGTAATCGAAGTACTAAACACATTTGATCTATCATTATCAACCTCAGATGAAATTAATTAAAAGAAAAAATACAAGTTTGAAAACTATTCGTATCATTAGATAACATAAACACTAATTAATTTTTTGACATCATGAACTCCCTAAGACAGCTGACCTAAGAAAAGTTTCCAGGAGGCATTTGAAGGAGGTTTCTTGACCAAGAAGAATACCACAACATTTAAACATATGAAACAAAAATACTGGCCTAAAATTTGTTTTCAATATATACAATTCTAATCAATTAAACTTAGCATTACTTTGCTTAATCATTAGTTTACTATTAGATTAAGGACTCATTCAAACCTATTAATGATGACAAAAATGTCAAAAAAGGGGGTTAAGAAAAAAGTCCCACTGCTTTCCTACCTCCACGACTTAGTTTCACAACACTCTCTCAGCACAAAGAAGTATTTACCGCCTCTTACTGTCTAAATTCTAACCATTTCAAAAGCCACGTCTCTTAATATACCAGTTCCTCAATCAGATCTCCCTCCTTTCAAGACTCACAGCACTTGATTCGTATGACCGTTGTAATAACTCCTACATCTGCTCTATTATTTAGATGTTTTATATATTCGTTCTTTATTCCTGAATAGACAATCAACTCCTTGAGGGGAGAGACTAGGTCTTATTCATCTTTGCGACTTCTATGGGACCAAGTAAAGTGCCTTCCTTGCCTGTAGAGATGATAAAAAAGCGTATGCTGAATCAAAAGAAAAGGAGACTTACAAACCGTAACACTTACGAAATGCCCTCTTGATCATCAAGTTGGTAATGCTTCTGAACAGGTAGGAGTTCTTGTTCACGTTCTTCATCTGATGTGCCATCAAAATTCGGCTCATTTATCAACGGTGTCATTACATCCATATCTGTAAAAAGAAAAATAAAGAACTTACTATCATTTATAAAAATTGGGGAAAAGCTGGTATAAATGAATTCAGAAGCATTATGAAATCATCACTTGTCTTTACTACTTCCATCCTAAATTAATCCACATTAATATCCTCAGTTTCAGTATATTTAAAAAAAGAACTAAGCAGGCTTATCTGGTGGATACTCTGTGTGGACTAACCAGTGCAGAGTAAAAAGCGTAAGTAGTCAATGCAAAAATTTTTCTCCTTTATTTCTAGGCATCTCATGAAGTCTGAAGTTTGTGGTAGTCTCGTCTACTAGTAATGCTAAAACAGAAACTGAAGAGTGGTTTTACTAGGAGCCCTAATACATGGCATAAAAAGAATACGAACCATAAGTAACAATGCACAAACACCACAAGAGAAACTAGATAACTGGGAGCTCCTAAAAATCAAATACTTATGCTCATCAAAAGGCTTCACCAAAAGAGTCAAAAGACAACCTACAAACTGGGAAAAAGTGTTTGGCAATGACAAATCCGATCAGTGTCTAACCTCTAAAATCTACAAGATATGCAACACTTCAACAATAAAAAGACAAATAACCCAATTAAAAAATGGGCAAAGGATATGAACAGGCACTTTGCCAGAGAAGACATTCAGGCGGCTAACAGACACATGAGGAAATGCTCACGATCATTAGCCATTAGAGAAATGCAAATCAAAACTACACCTCACCCCACCAAGGCTAGCATTAATCCAAAAAACACAAAATAATAAATGTTAGAGAGGTTGTGGAGAGACTGGAACACTTATACACTGTTGGTGGGAATGTAAAATGGTACAACCACTTTGGAAATCGATTTGGTGCTTCCTTAAAAAGCTAGAAACAGAAGTACCATACAATCTAGCAATCCCACTCCTTGGAATATATCCTAGAGAAATAAGAGTCATCACACGAATAGATATATGTACACCCATGTTCACTGCAGCACTGTTCACAATAGCAAAAAGATGGAAACAACCTAGGTGCCCATTAATGGATGAATGGATAAACAATTATAGTATATCCACACAATGGAATACTATGCAACAATGATAAAGAACAACGATGAATCCGTGAAACGTCTTATAACATGGAGGAATCTGGAAGGCATTATGCTGAGTGAATTTAGTCAGTCACAAAAGGACAGATATTGTATAAGACCACTATTCTAAGAACTCAAGAAAAGGTTTAAACACAGAAGAAAACATTCTTTGTTGGTTACAAGGAGGGGGAGGGATGGAGAGGGGTATTCACTAACTAGATAGTAGACAAGAATTATCTTAGGTAAAGGGAAGGACAGCACACACTACAGAGGAAGTCAGCACAATGGACTAAACCAAAGCTAAGGAGTTTCCTGAATACAAACAAAACACTTCAAGGACAGGGTAGCAGGGGCAGGGGTCTGAGGACCATGGTTTCAGGGGACATCTAGATCAATCGGCATAACAAAGTTTATTAAGAAAATGTTCTGCATCCCACTTTGGTGAGTGGCGTCTGAGGTCTTAAAAGCTACCAAGCAGCCATCTAAGATGCATCAACTGGTCCCAACCCACCTGGAATAAAGGAGAATGAAGACTACCATAGACACAAGGAAAGTATTAGCCCAAGAGACAGAAAGGGCCACACAAACCAGAGACGACTTCATCAGCCTGAGACCAGAAGAACTAGATGGTGCCTTGCTACCACCAATGACCACCCTGAGAGGGAACACAACAGGGAGTCCCTGATGGAGCAGGAGAAAAGTGCAGAACTCAAATTCTAGTAAAAAGACCAGACTTAATGGCTTGATTGAGACTGGAGGGACTCTGGAAGACATGGCTCCCAGACTATTTGTTAGCCCAAAACTGAAAATATTTCCCAGGCTGGCTCTTCAGATAAAGATCAGAATGGACTATGGGACATAAAATGATACTTGTGAGGAGTGTGCTTCTTAGCTCAAGTAGATACATGAGACTAAATGGGCAGCTCCTGTCCACAAGCAAGATGAAAAGACAGGGAGGGTCACGAGCTGGTTGAATGGACACAGGAAATCCAGGGTGGGAAGGAGGAGTGTGCTGTCACAGTATAGGGAGAGCAACAAGGGTCACATAACAATGTATGTATAAATTTTCGTATGAGACTAACTTGAATTGTAAACTTTCACTTAAAGCACAACAATGGAAAAAAAAAAAAAGAGTGGTTTTATTTGTGCCCCTTAGCAAAAGGTCAGCAGTTTGAATCCACCAGCTACTCACTGGAAACCCCATGGGGCAGTTCTACCCTGTCCTATAGCGTCACTATGATGGAGAATTGACCTGATAGCAAAGGGCTAGGTTTTGGTTTTGATATTGAATTTACTGGTTTTTGGAGAGCTATGTTGAGAGATTAGGATGTAGGCAACTGCCTTTACCCCAGTGCCAACAGGAACTCAGCACATCAGTTTTTCATAAAATTAAAGTGATGTTTTAAGATATTGGAGGATTCTTGAAAATAGTCTATTCTGAAGTCATTTAAATATTCTTCCTCAAATAATGTAACTAATGTGTAACATAACATTTGAGATCCACTGAATTATGATAAATTCTAAATTCCTGGAACCCAAATTAATGGGGATTTTCTATAAGTAAAATTCCCCAACTTTTATTTTTTTTCCTAACCCTTTAGTCATCACGATATTCTCCAGATATTTTTTAGTATCATTTCCTTGTTTCCTGTTCTCCAGCATCAAAGGTGGCAGAGCCCAGACCTGTGCAGAGTGAAAAGTCAGTGTCTCTCCAGTATATGGTCTACTGGGATGTCTACTGTCTCACATGTACTCTAGAAATCTATTTATATTATAAATTAGTTTCTTTTGTTTGAACAGACACTATATCCTTTTCTGTTACAGTCTATTAAAAAATCTTGTAAAACTATCATTATTAGTTGTACCAGCTTTAGTTTTAAACAGAAACATGTTAATATTTTCATTCTAATGTATTCCATTGCCCTTGATCACGCCTGAATTCTTTTTTCTGGTCAGCAGATCCAAATTGTCAGTTATTTGAACTTTCTAATATCATTCTGCCTGGGACTGAGCAGTATGTTCTGTGCAGTACTAAGTACACAAACTGATCTCCGTAAAGATAGCCAATATTGCCAGCATTTCACTAACTGAACAATCTGTTATTTGGAGCACACTGCCCCAGAGATCATATCAGCAATGGAAGTTATCAGGAAAAGGGTAAGTTTTCTCGTAACATTAGAAAATACGAAATCTAAATGGTTTAAGTTTACTTTTAACGGCATCATAGGATAATTTATTTTTAATATATTTTCCGGTAAGCCTGAAAATCTGAAACTGTTAACATTATCTCTAAATATTGGTTCTGTAATTCATAGAATCAAGCTTTTAAAATAGAATTACAGTCTGCGCTCAAATTCACAAGTAAAATTTGTTTGGGACCAATCACTCTTAACAAATTTGTATTTAGTAAAAGTGTTATTTATTTAATTTTGTTCAACAGTGTAATCTCCTATGGTTACACTTTTCCCTAGTTCTTAAATTCATTATTTCTCAATATTATGTTGTCTTGGAAAGATTAAAAAGATTAAAAGCTGTAAAGACAGCTTTTCTTTGCTTTGGCTTGTCTCATCCCTCACATTTAAAACCTTGAAAAAAATTAATTATTCCAGGAAACTTCTCTAATTAACCCTCTCCCAATGAGGAAGGAGAGTTAATTTTAAAAATTTAAAACTTTTTATGAGAAAAATACTTCTTAACAGTGTTAGGAATTTAAGAAGCACATATTTATATAATATTTTGATTCTACCAAAGCAAAAGTATGCAATGTGACACATTAGCTAAGTTCTAACTACGTGTGAATTTATATACATGAAGTTTATAAAATAAACTTCATTTACAAAAAAGAAATCTCCATTTAAAACTTCCCACTAGTTTATCTATATTAGTGAGTTGTCATTACACAAGATATATATATTTGTGAAACTAAGTAAACCAAGAATAGGTGAAGCAATCAGGTTTTAGGACTTGTATGCAATCAGGTTTTGGCTTGAATGATATAAAATAGCTCCTGAATCTAAATTAAAAAGACACCTAAACTACAAACATTTGGGAAAGTGATATACTCACACACCCAAAAAGTTGCTTCTTTAAATACTGATAGCCTAATTAGAAGATCCAGGTAAGTGTGATTGTCTGTGGACGAGATTTATTAAGAGAGTCAACCAGTCACTTGTAACTTTTAGAAGCTCCAGGTAATACTAAATATAAAATGCTAAGTTATATTTTTCTTCCAAAGTTAAGTATACAATATAGAAAAATGCAGTTATGTTGTTTATACACTTTTTCTTATATTTGACTTTTTAATTTTTTAGCGGAGGTATCAGTACTGGCATTCGCCATGAGACTGAGTAGGAGGGCATTCCAGGCTTGAGAACATACTGCCTGTTTGAGAAACTTTAGGTTGTTTTAATACGGCTGAAACAGAAGTGCAGGTATATGGCAGAAGATTAACCTGGAAAGCTTGAAAGATTTTGTGAACTGTGCTTAGGAATCTGGACTTAATCTTATAGGCTTGAAAAGCCAAAGAAAGCTTTAAGGTTTAAATGATCAGATTTGCGTTTGAGCAGTATCACCCTGGCAGCAATATAAAGAATCAATTAGAAGAGTAACAGCACTAGAACCACAGAGACCAATTAGAAAACAGTCAAAGCAAGTGATGGTGAGGGCTTGAATTAAGTCAGCTAAAGAGAAGAGTCGTTAGTTAGGGGACAGAAACAAGACTACTTGACCAAATAAATATGAAGGTTAAAGGAGTCAAGGACTCCTCCTGCGTTACTGCCATGGAGAAAAGTGAATAGATGGTATTGTCATTGAGAAAGAAAACACAGGGAAGCAGGTAGTGTGTCAATAGACCATACCACATATCTGAAGACTAGGGTTAAATCCCAGGCCTACCATTTAGTAGTTCTGTGAACCTGAGCTAGTCTCTTG